ATGGAAGTCCCATGCAACTTGTAGACCATCCTTTTTGCCTTTTGATCCAAGTAGTCTATGCATGCAAGTAAAGATAGGAAGTTTACGTGACCAAACTATCCCTAGAGTCCAGATCTATGATCCTAAGGCTTATCTTGAAGTTTTAATGGTTTTTGAAGTTGGAACAAAGACATTTTGAGCAAGGGTTAGGGCTTATTTCTTCTAGGATGGGTCTCAATGGTTAAAGTCAGAAACTTTACCCTCCTAGATGTGTTTTCGACTCATATCTAGAATCTGGAACTTAGACTCGAAGATTAATGGCTTAACACATTAAGGAAGCTTATCAGACTGAAGAACTTGACGATTTCACAGAGGAACTCGATGAGTTGAGTCGATTCTTTGGATAGGAGGAACTCGACGAGTTCGTGAAAGAACACGGTGAGTTGGATCGCGATTTTAGGGTTTTATGATTTATGAACTCGACGAGTTGATTCAACCTAGAATGTTGACTTTGACCAGGGCATGGACCCTGACTTTAACTTTGACCAAAGTTGGCCCTTAAGGGGTCATGAGTTTTAAAGGGTAATTAAGGAAATATTTTATGTATAGGAGTTGAGTTGGGTGGATTGTCGGAGCCGAGGATTTCTAGCTAGTTTACAGCATTTGAGGTGAGTTACCTTCTAGTAGAAGTGGGTTGAAGGCACCAATGTCGGCCCACTAGCAGTTGATTATAGTTGAGATGATTGTCTTTGTGATAATTGTCTAGTATATCACTATATGTTATGCTATATGTGCTAATATGCTATGATATTATGTGGTAGTGGTAGGAAGGGTATGATAGACCCGGTTACCGATCGTAAGGACCGAAGGGGTAGGCTAGTACTCAGATATGCTAGGCAGTATGTGACTTATGTGTTTATGTATTAGGATGATATGGGGTAGTGATAGGAGTGAAATACTCCCCATTACCGGTTGAAAGAAACCGAAGGGGTAGGCCAACAACCGGATATACTAGGCGGTTACCGATTGAAAGAGACAGAAGGGGTAGGCCAGCACCCTAATATGCTAGGTAGTTACCGGTTGAAAGAGACCGAAGGGGTAGGCCAACACCCAGATATGCTAGCTAGTATTTTATTGTATAGTATGTGGTATAATGGGGGAACTCACTAAGCTTTATGCTTATGGTTTTCAGTTTTGGTTTCAGGTACTTCCTCTTTGAAGGGAAATGAGCCGACATGATCGCAACGCATCACACTAAATTTTCCGCAATAGAGATCTTTGGGATTTATACTCTGATGTAGTTTTATCATGACATGTTTTGACTATTGATACATGGGTTTTGATATGATTTGATATTATGGATGTTTTCAGACAAATGGTTTTATAATTATTTAATTTAAATTTGAAATTTTTGGTATTAAATTTTGGGATGTTACATGATCATTGTTGAATCATTACATTCTTTGACTTTAGCCAATGAACTGACATTTGACCGACAATCGTGAGCAATCGACACATTTTGCTTCCTTAATTTCACGGATATTTCCAGAATTATCTTCAATATCAGCAAAAGTTTGTTGAGAACCAGGTGTCGACTTCTTAGTCATGTTCAAAATCTTGACTTGTTCAGTTTTGGTTAAGGTCTCATTTACAATTTTTACAAGATCATTAGCATTCAAACATTCATTAATATCTACCATACCATATTCATATGAATCATTTGGAATTTTATCATAATGTGTTATCTAACTTTCACATTCATATGTGGTTTTGTCTACTTGTTCTCTTTTAAAAGCAAGAAAAGGAAGTAGCTTTTGATGTTGTTTATCACAAATCTCAACAGAATGATAAGTTCTAGTTAATGTCGCATACAACCTTTTTTGTAGTGTTAAAATAAATGTTTCGTTGTTTTACAAGCATAATATTGTCCATTCAAATAACATCTCTATCTATCAAAAGATTGGTACTCCTTAAGTCTAGAGATTCTACTAGACCATTCTTTTCTTCTAGTTTATTCTCAGATTTATAGTAGAGGGTTTTGGACTTTTCTACTTCATTACTCATGGAGATAAACATGGCATTAAGATGAGAACACGTATTATCAAAGTCAGATAAAACATCATTAAAAGAAAAAGAAGGAATTTTAAATGAGGCTAAAAGATCACGTACCTTTGCAGTCATTGGTGATTTGATCTTATCCTTTGACACAAAGCATCTCCCTGCAATTCGTTCTTCGTCAATATCCTTCAGTTTCACATACAATGCACCATGAGTGGCATGGCGCATTTCCTCATCATCTGATCCTGAAGACCAGATTTGATATGTGCCCTCTTCTTCATCATCTCCTTTAGCAATCAGTGTAACATTCTTTGTTCGAGAGTGAATCTCCTCAAGCTTGTCAACAAAATAAGCCTTGTCCTTAACTCACTCCTTCTTCTCTTCTTTCTTTCTTAGCATAACATCTTTCACGAAGTGATTATAACCATTACAGTAGTTACAATTATTTCTAGAATCACCCTTCAACTTAAATTCCTTCTTCTTCTCATTCGAACTCTCCACCCCTTTCTTTTCGACCTTTACAACTTGTTTCATAGATTTTCCAGTCGATGATATACCCTTGCCCTCAGAATTATTCTTGAACTTTCCATTGAATGGCTTCTTAAAGAATTTATTGACCTTATTGTTTGAGTAATATACAACTGCTTCATCATCAGAGTTGAATAAGAATCCTTCTTCGCTATCCTTAGCTTCTTCTTCGGATTCAAATTCCTTGCAACAACTTTCGACACCAATGTCAATGGTCCTCCGAAACTCGATTTACTTTCTTCAGCAATATCATTAATCTCGCTTTCATGTGCTTTCAAGATATTGTATAGATTTGCAAGAGAGTAGCCATCAAAGCTTTCTTGTGTTTTGATCATCAAACTGATATTTCTTCATTCCTTTCTTAAACCCATAAGTAAGGGAGATTGAACTCCAGTAATGAATGTGTCACTCCATAACTAGAACACTTGAAGATCAATTCATTCAATCGATCATAGTATAATTCGATTGATTATGTTTCCTTCTGTTTGAATTCTCCCAACTCTAGCAAGCATTGTTTGACCCAACTCTTCTTTGTCTTCTCATTACGTTGATATTTCTCCTTCAGAGTATTCCAAATTTGCTTTGTAGTTTCACATCCTTAAACATAACTGTAAACTACTTGTGGAAGAGCACCACATAATTCACGCATACATTTCTTATCATTTTCTTTCATCATTTTTCCTCTTGTAATCATGTCCTCAGAAGCTATAGACGTACCAACATTTACTAACATCTCCTGATCAAATTGACCACTTTTGATGGATCTCATCAAATATTTATGAATACCCTTCATATAATCCTCCATCATGTCAGCCATTACTCATAATACTCTGGAGTCAACATCGGAATCCTTGTTGATGATCCAAGCAAGTGAAAGAAATTAGTCATCGTGTTCACATTCAAATTCGCCATTTTTGTACATATTTCGAAGAAAGAGATTTTTTATTCGAATAGAAATCTAAGAAAGAAATCAATTGAACTAACACACAGAGTGCATAATCAATTCAATCCAATCAACTGACACCAGGTTCCTTATTCAATTTGCGGAAAATTTTGAATCGAAAAGAGCGATTAAAAAAATGATATATACGAGAAAACTTCAATCGATTGAGTGAATCCTGCTCTGATATCAAATGATGTGAGTTAGAAATTGATCAAGAACACAATATATTCAATAAAAGCACACGAGATCTAAATAAGATCTATTTGGCTCGATTGTAGTCTAAAGAATACAAGAGAGTTTTTAGTATAAGTCAAAACGACGCTCAAGTCGTTACCCTACTCTATGTACTTACCCCATTCATAGGGTACAACAAACTCAAAAAATACAAGCACTAGACATTAAGTATCAAAACTCAACTGCATTGTAAATAGATATAGTGTCGAAACCATAATACTTTTGACACTTTACAGACATTGACTACATTCGACTTCTCATTATATATACATTCGACCCAACAATTAACCTAACTAAAAGGCTAAACAAAAGTCCCAACATAAACCCAAAACCAAATCACTTTATTATGCTAATAAATCTACACTAATAATTTTTAGTTTAATTTTTAACTTAGTAAAAGATAGTTAATTTAAATTGGTTTTGGGTGCTTTTAAATTCGAGAAGCAGTCGGGGAAATACAAACTCTGTTTTTCTGTCATTCATGGAAGTCTATAATGTTATTGTATCACATCGTTTGGATATGTTATATGTTTATTAAAGTCTCTCATCTCTTCTAAGGACTCTTTTGGATAAACAATATTGAGTTCCAATGTCGCCCAATAAACACAAAGATGTAACGTGGGGTTGTTTTATATACATTCATATAATATAATGTTCTGATTTTCAAAATTAAAGAATTTTTACAATGGTTTTGAATTTCCAACTGAATTCTTGTTCATCAACACAGTTATCATGATTGTGTAAAAGAATCGTTTGTATCTGTTTGGATGGTGTTAGAATTCTGAGTTTGACCACTGTTGTAACTATGTTGACCGTGCCTCTCACGCCGAAAGTCTCTCATCGCTTTGAATCTCAGATCTTCGGAGTAACCGCTTGCCTCCGGAATTATCTCCGGCACACAAGTTTTCCCGTCGAGCATACTTACAACCTCTGTCATCGTCGGCCTCATCGACGGAGAACCGTTCGTGCACAAAAGCGCAACTTTCACCATTGTTTCCGCTTCTTCTTTGTTGATTCTCGACTCCAATCTCTCGTCAAAAAGCTCTTCATAGTGTTTACTCGTTTCCAATCGACAAGCCTGCATAATCGATTCAAGAGTAATCAGATCTAGAGACAAATTTCAGTTAACTCAATTCAATTTTGGAAACGTACCCAATCTAGAAGACAAATGCAATCGTTTGTTGGAATGTAATTGTTGTTGTTCTTGCCGCTGACGATTTCTAACGCTAGAACCCCGAAGCTGTAAACATCTGCTTTATCGCTCAAGTAACCCCAGAGTGCATACTCAGGTGCCATGTATCCTCTGCAAATTGATCAAGATCGCTTTAGCACAAAAAAAAACGGATTAAAGAAACAAATTTGTTGACTAATTTTGCAAGTATTTGAAGGATTACATTGTTCCAGCAACTCTCGTGCTAACGTGAGTCTTTTCATCCTCATTTAACCTTGCCAATCCAAAATCTGATATTTTAGGGTTTAGATCTTTATCAAGCAAAATGTTTGTTGCTTTGATGTCTCAATGCACGATTTTGATCCTTGATTCTTCGTGAAGAAAAGCTAAACCTCTAGCAATTCCAATACATATCTTGAACCTCGTTGCCGAATCCAACATCAATCGATTTTTACCCAAATCTACATTAAGAACAAGAAGTTGGAGATACAAAATAAGGAGAATCAAACTGAAACAATAAGAATACTCACCAAACAAAGCGTTTGCGAGGCTGTTGTTTTCTAAGTACTCATAAACAAGCAACAATTGGTCTCCTTCAATGCAACATCCATGGAGTTTAACAAGATTTGGATGTTGTAAGCACGAAATCACACCAATCTCATTCAAGAACTCTCGGTTTCCTTGCCTTGATTGAGCTGAAAGTTGCTTCACTGCAATCACAGTGCCATCACTCAATGTACCCTGAAACCATCATACAAATGCTACAAACTCAAAAGTTACAATCACTAGAATGAGTTTTTTATGATTATGACCTTGTAAACTGCTCCAAAACCTCCTTCCCCGATTTTATTTGAAGGGTTAAAGTTATCCGTAGCTGATTTTAGTTTTTTCAACGAAAACGAAATGATGTTGAACTCTATTCCTTCAAAATCTATTCAAGAAAATGTTTGAGTAAATACAGATAAACTCAAAACTCATCTATGCATAGTTAAAAACCTCAAATTCATAAGCAAAATTTCAAAAAGATTAATCAATACGAAGTAGTATCCATACCTTTTTCATAAGTTCTTCGTCTTTTAAAACATTTTCTCCGCCACAAAATGACCAAGATTAACAATACAAGACATAGAATACCAATCCCGACACCTATATAAACATCCTTTTTTGTCTTTTTTCCACCCATTGAACATGTTTTAAAGTCTACAAAACGTAAAATTCCATTAAGATTCAAAAATCAAATGAGGAAAATTTTGTGATGAATGATATATTTGCATTCTTACATGGGTTAACATCAATCGCTGATACAAGAGGTCCATAGACTCCTCTTCTAAGAAAACGTGTTGTCCCTTTACCTGCCCAATAAAACCGTATCTCTAAAATGTTATCGGTCACACTAGCATTGAACGGTACAATCACCGCCCTTTCAACCCCACCAGCCTCATCTTCAATATTAAAATTCCTTCTAACACGTCGTCCCTAAATAACATACACCTCAGACAACTAAGACAACTCAAACAACTGATAATAGACAACAGAAAGTAAATGAATCACCTGAATATAAATATCAAATATCCGACGACCAAGGCTTCTATATGTGCTATCGTTAGTGAATATGATCTCCGCAAAGTGCAAATTGACCAAATACTCCCCGTTCTCCAAACAATAACCGAAGTAAGTGAGTGTAAGTGGCGATAAACGTGCGGTTGTGTACAATGGTGATAAGCTTGTGTTCCCCTGCAAGGAATCTACATATCGAGTGTTCTGATAAATATTTTCATCCATGAAGTCTCCAGTACTACTAAATCCCCAATTCTTGTCACTTTTATATAACTTTGCTGCACCACCATCCACGTCAGCATCTCCTTTGTAAATAATAGATCTCCCCTTACTTTCTCTAATTGTCACATCATTCCCGCCACAATTAACATGTACTGAACAGGCATCTGCCATAAAACAATATGACAATCAACAGAAAGTTGGGAAAACGAAGCTTTTCTATCAAGTCCAAACATTTTACAAATTTACCCTAGTTTATTTTATTTCCTTCTGTGTCGTTGTTTTTCAAAAAATAATATCATTTTAAAATGATACTTATATGTCGGACACTTGGTATCCTGGTTGCACGGAAGGACATCCTGTCTGTTGAGAAAATCATCATAAGTTCATTTTATAGATTCTAGCTATAAAATGAAAAATATATATGGTAGTAAAAGTAACGAAAACAATCTTACAATGGGTTTCCGGTTGAAGAGCTTCTAAACAAGTTTAAGTATATATTCCTGATATGATATAAGAAGAAATGCATGAACACTTTATTAGAAACAAGAATGATCAGCAAGATGTCACAATGTTACTAATATACAAGTAATTAAATTACAAGAAAAGAGTTTTTACGTGTTTTGTCGGCATGTGGGTTGATTAGGTCCTTGCCATGTGAAATCGTTGTAGGAAAGATCACTGCACCACATTACACATATAAAATTGTTAATTTCTTAAAAAAAAAAAAACAATCATACAAAATTAAACCAATTTTGAACATACACGTTCACAAAATAAACTTACATAGCAGTCCCGTTTACCAATAATGAATACGGTATATCTCCACTTAGCATGTTAGCTGTTAAAAGCCTATCAAAAAACCCACCTCAACATGTTTTTGTTACATCTACTCAATAATTTAGTAGGAGAAAACAGGTTGTACTATATTTGACACGTATTAGACTATGACTGAAAATGATGTAATGATAAAAAAAAAGTTGCAACTTATTGTCACCCTTACAAAGTAATAATTATACTGTATTAATACACTACTAGAAACATGGGTTTTAGCGACGGAAAAATCCGTCGCTATTCCGTCGCTAAATGTTGTTTGCAATGGATCGGTGACGGATTCCCTCCATAGGTAATAAAAATGTGGCTAATTTCTCAGCGAGGGTTTTAGCGACAGATCGGTTTTTCCTTGCTACAAAGGTAGCGACAGAATATCCGTCGCTAAATGTCACTAAATGTCACAATGCATTCCGTCGCTGTTCTGTCGCAATTTTCCATGAACAGTTTTTTTTTTCCGTAGCTAATCCCTTGCAAAATTCATATACTATTTTTTTTCCGTCGCTGATCTATCGCAAACTTTAGACATGATTTTTTTCATCACTAATCCCTTGCAAAATTCATACATTAAATTTTTTTCCTTTCCGTCGCTGATCCGTCGCACACTTTAGACATGGTTTTTTTTTCGTAGCTAATCCCTCGCAAAATTCATGCATTAAAATACTTTTTATTTTCTCACCACGAACTTGTAATATCATTTTTTTTATTATGATTCTAAAAGAAAAAAAATACTATAATCATCAAATTATTATACTAAAGAACATCAAATAATGATACAACCAAGCATTACAATACCAAAACTATCAAAGTTTACCAAAGTGTCATTCAAAAAACATCCAAAAACGAAACTATCCTTATAACATCAAACTCCCAACGGTTTAACTTCAAAATAACATTTTAGCACTAAGAAATCCAAAGTATGCAAAAGAGGTACAAACAGAAAAAAGTTTAACCTTCACAATAACATTTTAGCTGCTCTATTCATTTCATGTCCATCCAATCATCTTCGGTTCTCATTCCTATAAAACATTATTCAAAACAATCAAAAACATCAAATACAAAAGGTTAACAAGTCATTCAAAAACATCAAATACCAATGGTTAACATCATATTACCTCTAATTTTCAATTTCCCATCATATTTTGCAAGGCTGCATACATCTTCTCCATTGCTTCATATTTTGCATCAATTTGTTGTTGTTTGGCATCTATTGCTGCAGCTTTGGCATCCATTTCCTCACGCATTTGTTGATGTTTAGCTTCCATTTCTGCAGCTTTAGCATCCATTTCGTCACGCATCTCGTTTCGTACACGTTCATAGACAACCTAAAGTACAATACCATGATAGGAAACTTTGTAAGTACAATGCCATGATAGGAAAATTTGTAAGTACAATGTCATGATTGGAAACTTTGTAAGTACAATGCCATGATAGGAAACTTTGTAAGTATAATACCATGATAGAAAACTTTGTAAGTACAATGCCATGATAGGAAACTTTGTAAGTACAATGCCATGATAGGAAACTTTGTAAGTACAATGCTATGATAAGAAATTTTTATAAAGTACAAAATTAAACGAACCTCTTGGGATGTTATTGTACTAGATGTTCCTTCCAAAAAGCTCGCTGGATCAGACACATATAAATTTTTATAAAGTACAAAATTTATTACAGTACCTGTTGTGGAAAATCACCATTTTTCAAACGGGAATTGATCAATAACTCAACCAGAAAAGCAAAAAAAAAAAATACAATGTGAAATCGTTTAAAAAGTGAAAAAGACAAACTAAACTAACATTCATAAGTTCTTTCTTAGATTATAAATAAAAAAAAAAATATGTACATTATAAATAAAAAAAATATGTAAAAACATAATTCTGAAAATTTAAATGACCAATTTACCCTTTCGTTTAAGCAAACATGGAACACCTAAACCTAATCGGAACCCCTAATAATCCAAAAATCAAAACCAAATCAAGAAACCCTAATCAATACAAAGATTAATCGAAACGAGCAGTTGTCAAAAGACAAAATCATTAAATGATAAGAGAATTAAAAAATATGACGGTTTTACCCTTACATCCCAAAACAAAATTTTCACAATATTCATCAATTGTAACAATAAAGAAGTTGGGAGAAATAAAAAAGAAGGGAAAAAACATAAAGATTTAAAGTCTTAATACATTAAGCCAGGTATTTTTGGCTTAACCATCAAGTCATTGTATACCAATTAAGACAAAAAGAAACAGCACCTTATTTTCTTTACTTTCTCTATTAAGTGTTCTTTCTGCATTAAGTAAAAAAAGAAACACCCATATATAGCTCATTCCATTAATCCAATTAAGTAAAAAAAAAAAAAGGGCACCTAAATGTGTTGTTGAAACATAAATCATGGTCTGATTGAAGAAGTTATAACAATACCTTCACAAATTTTGCCTCCAGCAAGATGAACAATGCCAATAACAACAAATGCAAATCCAGTCAAGTTTGATTTTGTTGTATCTTCAACATGCTTTTTGTAGACTCCAGGATCTAGTTTACTTGTTATAATGTATGATTTTAAGTCAACAGAACCTGAAAAGTGATGACAAAATTTACGAAAATGCCATTATCAATAAACCACAAGTTTAATCAATTTAAGTTGCTTACTCTGTGAAGATCAGGCCTGATTATTTGATGAAGTACCTGCTCACTTTTGTGGTTCTATTTACCTTTCTACCATGTGGTGCTAATTACCTTTCTACCCTTTTTTCTTAAAAGTACCTGCTCACTTTTGCTTTCTGTCTTAAGAAAAACAAAAACAAAAAAATGTTGTGTTGTGCCAAATATCAAGTAGATTGGACTTTGGACAAGTTTGTAACAGCAAAAACAAAAAAATGTTGCAGAACCACTTTAATGGCTGCATCAAAAACAGCGTTCACATTCTGTATAAAAATTAAAAATTAAAAACCATAGTCAAGTTTTAATAAGATAAAAATGACTTTTCTTTTGTACTTAATACACAAAGTCATAAAAATAAGGCCGATTATTAATGTTTTTTGTTTAAAAAAAAAAGTGTTATTTTTACTTATATGTAAGTCAACTTGTTTGCTAATAAAAAGTCTAATTTACCCTTCAGGGGCGTGTTATTCCTTGTGATTTCATTGGTATTGTCAAGAGTCAACAACCTGTCTACCTTAGAGGTACCAATCCTTTTCCTCTGTAGTTTTAAGTTATAACTTCACTTTTTTTTTATTTATATTTTTATATATAATGTGAAATTTTGGTATTCAGATGAAGTGGTAAATAACCATGATGAACTCATGTCAAACTTTTTTGCACAACCTGATGCTCTTGCTTATGGAAAGGTAATCAATCTACTTTCTACTTTTCACCTTTTAAATAATATAAGTTTTTCTAATCATTTTTAATATATTAATTATTCACAACTAACATTATCTTTCCAGACCCCTGAACAATTGCGAAGTGAGAATGTTGCATCTCATCTTGTTCCTCACAAGGTCACTTCCTACTTCATATTAAAATTTGTTTTTTTTTAAATTAAAAAAAAAATACTAATTTCATTTTTTTGTTGACAGACATTTACTGGGAATAGGCCCTCCCTTAGCCTTCTGCTTCCATCATTGGATGCTTATAGAATTGGACAGGTTTAGTATTTTTATTGTTGCTAATCTTCATTTATTTTGCTGACATCATCTTACAAAATATATATATATTTTAGTTGCTAGCTATGTATGAGCACAGAATTGCTGTGGAAGGTTTCATTTGGGGTATCAATTCATTTGGGGTTTATTAATATGTATACAGTTCTAGACCACAAAAAGAAAACTAAGTCAGTCATTAGGTGTCCAGATTAAGTACCCATTAAGTAAGAAAACGAACAGCTCCTTTGTTATAATGAAGGATAAGTCACCTATTTCTTCTCAAATTCACGTTGCCACCTCCTAAATATGAAAGAGAATTAGGGAAAACCTAAAAACGTAAGGATTCCTGAATCCTTAAATTCTCATGAACTGGAAGACAAACTATGATGAATCAATCCCTAACTCAAGTTCTAATTCTAAGTGTTTATTGTTATATAGATGCAATCGATGGTAGACCTGAAACTACCTTGCAGATAATGAAGAAGGCATTCCATATGGCTACGAAACACAATAACCAGAAAGTTTCAAGGTAAATTAAACCCTAACAAAGTATATTGTGAAATTGAACTAAAACTAACCTAAGAGGGATGAGATTTACCTGAATCGGAGGTTAACGAAGAATACTTTCAGATTTAAAGATATGGAGCTTGCCGGAATCGGGTGAGTGGCGTCGTCATCTGTTCGAACAGAGATGGTGATGAGATAAAGCAGAAGCTAATTACACTTAGTAAAGAGTGATAAAGCTGGAGGGAAGGAAAGTTTCACTGGCTTCGTGAAGATGGAACTGGGTGCCAATTTCAGCGAGAGAAAAAAGAAAACGTGCGCACCCCAAATAAATTTTCTGTCGTCGTTCTCTCGCTGCACGCGTACATATGCCACAATTTTGTTATCCCTCGCTGAACCCTAGCTAAGGGCCTTCATTTTTCGAGTGATTAGCGAGGAATAGTGATGCATCGTTAAATAGTTGCCAGATCCGTAGCTGATCCCTCGGTAAATCCTCGCTAATATTTCATATATTACATAAATAAAATAATTATTAAAAACATGGTAGATCTGTCGTATTTCCGTAGCTATAAGTCTAAATTTTTGCTAGAGAATAAATCTGTAGCAAAATCCGTAGCTGAAACTCAAGTTTCTAGTAGTGATAGTAAAAGAATCACAATAAAATCTGAAAACCAATTCTCATTGTCACACTTACATTAAACTTATGTTTGTCCTGAGGAAGTTGCTAGATATCCTCCCTACTAAATTGTTAAAACTTGTATCCCTATCAAATTCATGAAAGAAAAGGCGTCACTAAGAATATATATATATATATATATATATATATATATATATATATATATATATATATATATATATATATATATATATATATATATATATATATATATATAGAGAGAGAGAGAGAGAGAGAGAGAGGGGATGGTTCAATTGAGAAAAAAATCATTCTCAACCACACATTTATTTTGCCGCAAAATACTTGGGCGTACCGGCAGAAATGAGTAAGGGATACATATAAGTTTTTCAATCAAACATGTTTCTTAAACTATGCTAATCATTACTTTAATATACACAAAAACATTTTTTTTTTTTTTTGATTTTTAGAAAGCTATTTTTATCAAAAAATGATTTTAAATATATTAAAATTCATAACTTTTTATTCTCTATAAATAGACATCGATATAGATTTAAGATATAACAAATTTTAGAGTTTCAAGTCTCTTTTCATAAGTGAATAAAAATGCATCTATTTTCTATTATAGTACATTCGTTATTAACTTATGAATAAAATGTATGTTTAACTTTTCTAAAGTTTAAGTATCGTTTAGTAATGAATATAACACATAATAAAGTTTTATTACCTAAAATATATTTTTTATATCAACTTTCGTCACATTTATATTTATATATGAATAAAACATGTATTAGTTGTTGTTATATGTTATATTCATATATTAATAAAACATTTATCATATTTTTGTTACAGTTAATTTGTTATTCATATATAAATAAGTAGTATGTTAATAAAGATGAAGTATTTTGAAATTTGAATTTCATCTTTTATTAACATACTACTTATTCATATATGAATAATAAATAAACTGTGACAAAATTATGATAAATGTGTTTTTCGTATATGAATATAACTTGTGATGAAAGATAATATCTGTTTTATTCTTATGTGAATGTAACATGGTAACATGTGACGAAAATTGATGTAAAGTATAAAAATTTTATTATATGTTGTATTCATATAAGAATGATACTTAAACTGTAAAAAACTTAATCATATTTTTATTTATCAGTGAATAACGAATGCATAATCTGATGCATTTTTATTCACTTATAAATAACGATAGTTGAAACCATAAAAAAATTGTCTTATCTTAAAATTATATCAATATTAATGTCTATTTATAAAAATTAAAAAAAATTATGAATTTTGATATATTTAAAATAATTTTTCGATATGTAAACTATAAAAATTTTATTATATGTTTTATTCATATAAGAATGATACTTAAACTGTAAAAAAAAATTAATCATATTTCTTATTTATAATTTAATAACGAATGTACAATCTGATGTATTTTTATTCACTTATTAATAATGATAGCTGAAACCATAAAAAAAAATAAAAAATTTATTTTATCTTCAAATTATATCAATATTGGTGTCTATTTATAGAGAATAAAAAATTATGAATTTTAATATATTTAAAATCATTTTTAGATAAAAATAACTCATTAAAAATTAAAAAAACAAAAAAAAAAACTATGTTTTTCTATATAATAAGGTAATTATTAGCATAATTTAAGGAAACATTTTTCGTTGGAAAACACACCTATATTTATTTTCTATTTCTATGTTGGTACGATAGAGGCTTTTGCAGCAAAAATAAATAAATGGTTGAGAATCATTCCTCTATTCTTAACCTTTTTAATTTTCTCAATTGAATTTTATATATATATATATATATATATATATATATATATATATATATATATATATATATATATATATATATATATATATATATATATATATCATCAAGAATCAAAAGAACCAAAACCCATTTTGAATATACTTACAACAATTCGAGTTCTCTCACTTGCCAAATATAATCTGGTAATTCTCCAGAAATATTGCAATTTCTCAAGATCCTACATTTATACGAAATGTCAGTTTATGTATTTGTTATCATAAAGATCGATGCCAGAATTATCAACATACAATCTTATTAATCCCACGGCATTGGTAAGTGGAGGAAACTGCTGAGATGGTCCGGTTATGTCACTAATTCTCCTAATGACATGGGAACCATGAGCTTATAATTTTCTTGATATAAATATATAAAATCTCACGAAGAACAAGTGGGTCTCGTAAGTCAACTCACAGATCAGTTAGGCTCTCAAGAAGAGATATGTTTGAAGGAATAGGTCCCGTGAGTGCACTCGCCACAATTTCTCTTCAAAAGCAGCCAAATATTAGAATTTTTATGTGTTTGAAGGTATAAAACCACAAATGCAAGAAATAGCAATGTATTTTCCTTGATTTGTTTATTACAAATATATCATATATAAATGAAAGTACATTGTTATTTGTTGCGTTTAGCACGAATAGAAAAGATAGAACCTCTTACAATCTATAAAGTAGTCTCCAATTCTGTATAAAATCAGGTATCGATCCGCTGAAGTTGTTTTCGTTTATCCTACTGCATTACAATGAAAAACAAATATCTTCAATTTTAGCCTTCAAATAATTGGAAGTTCAAAGAAAAGTCAAAGATCTTACAAATTTGTTAGATTTACTAGTTGACCAAGCGTAATCGGCAGCCTCCCGGTCAACTGATTTGAGGACAAGATCCTGAAATTTAATATTTTTTTTTAGTAAAATCATAAAATAAACATTTTATTGAACAATAATTAGGTTCAGAGAAATGAAAAGACATAATCATTCTTACAAAGATTGCAAATTGGTTAATCTCCCTAAATCTGGTGGAATGGTTCCCGAAAATCTGTTTGCTTCAAGGTTCCTAATCAAGAATTTGAAGTGGATTAGTATATATATATATATATATATATATATATATATATATATATATATATATATATATATATATATATAAACAAAAAGAACTTGAGCCTTATGGTAAAATGTCCAAATTGCCCTCAAAATAAGATGAACATACAGTCTTTTGAGACTGGTTATGTTTCCAAGTTCTGGTGGGATTTCTCCGGTTAAGCGGTTGCCAAGAAGCGAACTGAATATGGAGAAGAACAGGCTTAAGATCAGAAACTTTGTAGTTCTCATAACAAAAGATTATGGAATTAAAGGGTAAACCAGAGATTTCACATTTCTTGTAACTGTGTTAAACCCCATTCAGGTGGAATCGTGCCTTGTAAGTAATTGTACGCAACATCACTGCAAATAAAACGGAATATTCTTCTATTTTGTTAATCTGGACATCTTTGGTACTAAAAAAGGTTGTTGAGATTAAAGGGTAAAACAGAGATTTTACATTTCATCTAACTGTGTAAAAGACGACTTACAAGGACCGGAGGAAAGGAAGGTTTGCTAGTAAAGGTGAAAGTACGCCATCAAGACTATAAAACCTGTGCGTGCTGCATACACGAAAAAGTTATTTAGTTTCTACTAAAATCATATCCAAAACCGATATGTTTAATAAAAACTGAAAATCAAAGAAAGAAAGAACTTTATACATCGTTACGACATGACAATCTGTATCGTTTTCAGTGTTGCAATTGCATCCGATGCTAGCATTAGCGTCTTGAGATAGCTTTGGGACTTCGGAAACGGTGTCGAGATTGCAATTGTCGCCATTAAACCTCCAACTTGTTGCATTCATGGCAGCAAGAATGCTTACAACAGCTTCCACTGAATCGAATTGAAAGAAGAAGAAAAAAAAATCACATATTTTTTAAACCAGTGCGTACAAGAAAAAGATTGCGGATGATCATTTCGTCAAAACTCAGAAGTCAAACCAAAATTAGGCTACCTTCTTGTTGCGGCACAGTGGATTCAGCATATTGTAGGAAGGGGACGAAGGTGAAAGTTAGAAAGAGTATGAATGAAACTTTACTTGCCGCCATTGTTGCAGAGGTCAGGAGTAGGTGGGGCGGGAGGAGAAGATAGAGATGAATGTGGGTACGGGTTTGAAATCATTTGAGATCGATCTGCTGCACTTCTTGAAGATTGGTAGACAAGATAAGTCAAATGTGTTGGATGATAATCCTGACTTAGTCAAGTTTTGACCGAGTTTGCTGGAAAAAATGGGTAAAACCATGTTAGCATTAGTCTAGGATATAGTAGTAGAGTATTCTTCCGTTTTTCTCCAAGTCGTTTTTGCAGTATTTAAATACAAGTAGAAGTCTTTTCTTCTTGATGTGAAAGTTCCAATTTCAGTAAGAAATAAAGCTCAGAAAATTGCCCCAAATTCATCCCCCGTTCTTGTTGTTTACCCCTGTATCTTGAGTTTCTAATTGTTTCTGTGCAGATGCCGACCTGTTTCTAACAAAATGTGCAAATCCTTTTTTAATTCTTGTAAGCCGTCCACATAGAAACTACTGAATGATGATAGAGATTCATCATTCAGATGGGTGTTTCTTGACTCATTCAGAAAAAAACATGTTGAATATAACCGCATTACTTATAACTAGTGTTATGTCCATCCGGTAGACATGTTGACAAATATATAAACAATATATCGATGTATCTTATCTTTATAGCATATTACTTTCATTCGTTCCTATATTAACAATGTACATGACAAATCTACCCAATTATATCATTAAAGTGTAATATGTAGAAAAATATTTACCAAATAAATGTAGCTTTTAACTTATCCATTGCTACGTTTTTGCTATTTATCCTTGGATGCAAAATCAGTTGTTGTTATCATCTTATTGTCTTTGTTTTCAAATTATCGTTAGACGTCTTCCCCAAGTATCGGCAATTTATGTACGGTCTGTTGTTTATTCGTTCTTGTCTTGTGTTTATGTTGGTATAGGTTTTCGAACCTGTAAAATATTTGTTTGGTATCAAAGAACATGGATTTGATTATGGGTTCTTGTTAATATATATATATATATATATATATATATATATATATATATATATATATATATATATATATATATATATATATATATATATATATATATATATATATATATATATATAGAGAGAGAGAGAGAGAGAGAGAGAGTTAGGTTCAAATGTTTCTAGCAACTATTGTGTTCCTAAATGCATCAATCACAATTTAGCAAATAATTAAATAATTAATTAAATCAAAAGGGTATTTCTGGGTTTTTGACACATTCAGTTAATGTGATCATTTAATTAAATCCCTTCAATTAAGGAAACAAAATAATTAAGTTTGGCCTAATATCTCTTTTATCTGACATCTTATTAAAAAGAATCTGCTATTCTTCAGTCGCAATACCCTATATACCATCGATCCCCTTTGTCGAACCATTCACCGTGTTCATCACAATCGTCGACAACATCAACACGCCAATTACCACTCCATGAAACAAATCAGACCTGCTAATAATAAAATACGTGGAAGAAAGGGCATTTGTTTCTTACTCTCAAAAGTTTATGAAATGGAGAGTGACAACAAGAGTGGTGGTGCCGTCGCCGCTGCCGGTGGTCGGTTGCTAGTGAATGAATCTTCTTATGATGTACAGAACGACAAGAAGCGATTTCAGATAGAATTAAAACCTGATGAAACAATGATTGTTTCATGAGTTAAGTTGCTTAAATAAACCGGCATTCCCGTTGATCAGTCTCCTCCTCCATCACCTGAGCCTCCAGTAAGAATTCTCCTTGTTGGTTTTATGTATATAATATTCTGATGATTCTATTGTTGAATTTTTGTTATTTCTCTATTATTAGGGTTAAATGATTGTTAGATTTTTGCAAATTTTGCAAATTTTGTTTGATTTAGACACAATTCGGCATGCTCTTTGTACAAAGGAAGCCTCAATGTAATAGAATTTAGTAGGGGAGCCCAAAATTTCTGGAGGCAAATTTTACAAATTGATTACAACTGTATTTAAGGGTGGAAAATTGTTTAACTTGTATATTAGTATGCATTAAAATATGATACATGATGATGCAGGAGATGTCTTTAAGAACTTGTTTCCTGAAATGAACAAGATTTCAAGCGCATTGTATTCAATCACAACTCTTGAATTATGTATTCAATCACAGCTCTTGAATTCTATAATATATTCTATTAGAAATTATTTATATAAATGTATTATGTTAGAATGTTTGAGAATAATTGTTAAGAACAAGTATATTTGTTTAACTGGTAATTAATTTGTGATGCTTTATGGTTGACTTTATAGTCTCTACTACATTCTGTCAGAATGTATAGTTTTTATTTTCTACTATATTAAATCAAACTTTATAGTCTTTAATATATTCTGTTAGAATTTATAGTTTTTATTCTCTTAGAATGTATTGAATTTTTTTAATTTTTGAAACTTGATTATGTTTTTTTTGTGGATTTAGGTTTTGATGAGGCTAACATTGATGTGGAGAAGGAAGAAAACATAGAGCACGAGAGTGTATTATACCAGAATGTGTTATGCTACAATGTATAAAATGTTGCTTAAAAATAATTTTCTATCAGAATAGATTAGTGTTTTTGTTAGATTTGATGGTTTTTTATTCTTTTTTCTTTCAGAATGTTATTATTATTCAATGAATCACAATCATACAATGTAATTATTTGGTATATTATTAGTTCAAGAATTGATTTTGTGTAATCTTTTCAAAATGTATTTAATAGTTTATGGTTGGCATTTTATCATTCTGACAGAATAAAATCGAAAAATATACTTATCCGTTTATGGTTAACATTCTATCATTCTTTCAGAATAAATTCAGATTTATTAATTCTTTGTAAGCCGTCCACGTGAAAACTTTTTTAATTCTTGTAAGTCGTCGACATGAAAACTACTGAATGATGAATGAGATTCATTGTTTAGATACGTGTTTCTTGACTCATTGAGAAAAAAACATGTTGACTATAACTCGTTTTAGTTATAATATGTTATGGTTAATGAAAGAGTTGCAAGGGGTTGATTGTTAAATGTTTAACTTTATTACAACCCGTGGAATGAAAAATGGTAATGAAAAATAAAAGATTTATAAAATTTTAATAAATTAATAAGATATAAGTTTTGCTTAGACTTTTATATATATTTGAATACCTCATATACGTTATGTATGTATGAGTAGACATTTAATAAAATTATGATTTTATAGAATAAATATAAATTTGAATAGAGTAAAAAAAGACAAGAAATCATGCAAATAGCATTGATATACAAAAAAATTAATTTTTTTAAACAAACAAACTATATCAAAACTTCAAAAGAAATGGTAATTTTAAGTATAACATATCTTAGGTTTGACATTGCAAGGAAAAAATTTATAGATACCTTTACAATAATCGACTCAGAGAAAAAAAAATGAAAACAAACTATAAATTCCAATAAAATGACACTTTTGAGATACAAAGTTACAATAACCACAATGAAAAAGAAAATCTAATCCCTTATTCACTACAACATTAACATACCCTGTATATAATATAGAACACAAAAACATTCAAAGGGATAACATGTGTGATAATATCATAACCTATCACCAAGATTCTTGTAAAGTTTTTTTGTGAGCTATTCAAGGTAGGTGGAACCTTCAAAGGTTGTTTGAGAATCATTTTACTCTAAATGTGAACAACTTCAGGCTATCTCAAAAATCTATATATCAAATTGTTTCAGCCTTTCGACAAGCAAAGTGTTCATTGCCTTCCCTTCTCTCTTCAATAAAAGAATATTGTTATTAGGATTTTTTTTATCATGGATAGCTACTAGTTATTGAATAATAATGTAATTACAATTTTAATTGAAATAGAAATATGATTACTCAAATTCATAGCAAATGTTTAGTAAGTTGCTAATATGGATAAAAATGAAATTAGCTTTGCCATTATTATCATTAAAAATGAAATTCTTACTCTTACTACTGTGGTAAATATTACAAGTGATTTGTTAGGAATTTTATAGTAGTAGATATTGAGGGGTTTAATCTAGTGTAACACCAAACGAGATGTAAAACCAAAAATTTCCGCAAATTAAAAAGCGTGACTTGCAAATTTCTGCGATTTAAGGAAAATACTCACTGCCATCAAGGTTTTTGTTACCTCTATTTGTAACTTATAAAAGAATATTGAATTTTAGCCTTTTGACTCAGTATCTCGGCGGACATCCTGATAATAAAAAAAATTGAACCTTCAAAAACTGTGTTGTCCTATCTGCATAATATTATCATAAAATAAATAAATTTTATTATGTAACTGCAACCCCCTTGGATGAACATGACTATTTGTCTTGCAATGAATACAAAAAAGTTCAAGAACTACATAAAGCTCCCATGAAAGTCTAAGTATAGCAATCAAGGGAACATAATTAATGTCATCCATCTTGATATTCGTCATTCCATTCTCCAAATCAAATTACATAAGAAGTTCAAACAATTTAGTACAATAATTCTAAGTATAGTACACCTCTTTTATATATATATATATATATATATATAATATATATATATATATATATATATATATATATATATATATATTCCTTGTTATCTAATAGAATCTATGCAAATAGAAGAAGAATAAAAACATGGTATGTAAACAAACACCATTGAAATCAAGTGCCCTCAAGCATTATATCAAACACTTGTTGTGCTTCATTGAAACATCCTAAAAATACAACAAAAAATTCATTTTAAATCATTAATTATCCATTATTATCATTAAACATATAAAAATAACAAACCGTGTATCTCAATAATATCATAACATCTTTTAAATATATCAGAGTATAAACATCACAGACTAAACAAATGGTAGTGCAAAGATCTTCCCTTTACTACCGAAAGTACCTGAAACAAAACTGAAAACTGTAAGTACGAAGCTTAGTGAGTCTCCCTAAACTAGGGATGAGATTTAGAACTTGAAAACCGGACCTGAACCGGAACCGTTAGAACCGGAATATATAAAACTGGTTCCGATTCCGGTTCCGGATTTAAAATTTGGCTTTATCTGGGTTCCGAGTAATCCGGGTTTGGGTCCATCGGGTCCGGGTAAACCAAGTCTAAAAACCGGAACCGGTGTTTGGAACCAAAATCACTTTTAAAGTCGGAACCAGTTTTTGTGAAACATTTAAAAGATGCATATCTCATTCGTTTCAACTTCGATTAACATGCGGTTTTTTCGA